GCGAGCTCCGGTCCGGCTGGGCGGCCAGGAAGGGCGCTCGGGACTCAGCCTGGCAGGGCGGCTGGATCCGCACCTTGAAGGCCAGCGTTGTGGTTCCATGAAGCATTTCAATTCCCGGCTCCTCTGGGACACCCCAGCTGGGCGTGGCCAGGCTCAGGCCATCGCTGGGATTCCCTGGACCCAGATCCAGCAGATCTGCACGACCCCCGAGTCCAAAAAACCCATGCCGGTTCGCTGGTAGCGGCCTCTCCAACACGCTGGCCAGCGCCATGTCTACTGTGGGCAAAAGGAACTCGCTCCGAGACGCCTCGCGGGAATAGGCCGGGCAAAGCCTCGCCGTCACGGCTTCACTTCCTATTAAATCTATTCCAGAAAGGAGCCATTTTGACTCCTGGCAACCACGCCTCCAAAAAGAATAGCCAAACGCTTTCACCCATAGGGGGGAAAAAAAAAAAATGACTTCATTGCACTTAAATTCTAAAAGGACGTGGCTGCCATATTGACTTTGGTCATGCAAGCTGCGCTGGATCGGATTAACCTCGGATTCATAGGAAGTGATCAGTTGTCCATACTGAGTGAGGGAAGTGAGGTTGGCCATCTTTGAGAAGGGCGTGACTGGTTGAAAATCGGTTCTAAACCCTGAGCGGAAAGTCCTCCCCGCCCAGCTCGTAGTCCAAGCAACACGTTACATCTCGGCTGCTCCTGAGGTTGCCATTTTGTTTAAGGGCACCCTCTGAAACTGGGTAAATATGATGACTTGCTCTGAGACCATTTCCCTATGATATTAATTAAACCACAGTAATTTGCGCTAAAAAGCTCAACAAAATAAAAGTGCTGTACCTCTTGTTGTTCGTTGCCACACTACATCCGTTTTTAACAGTAACCGTTTATTTATTTGTTTTGAGTCAGGGTCTCACTCTGTCGCCCAGGCTCTCACCACAGCCTGGAACTCCTGGAGTCCGCCTCGGCCTCTTGAGAAGCTGGGACTACAGGCCCGGGCCAGAGTAAGTTTTCGATTTTTTTTTTTGGCAGAGACAAGATCCTGCTATGTCGCCTAGGCTGAACAGTAACCAATTTTTAAGATTCAGTATTCACTCTCTTTACTCCCACAGTCTGGTGGAAATTCTAATAAGCAATGAATTGCCTAAAAGGCAGATAGAAGAATAAAGAAGGGGTTCAGGTAATCCACAAACCGGATTCTCAATTCAGCACCTGCATAATTGAGTCAATAGTAATTTACCATCTCAGAACCTAGAGGAGGGCTGAGGCTCCGTAAAGATGTACCAAGAGATTCTCTAACTTCGGCTGACTGAGACGATGCTCTTTATTCAGGAATGCGCTATATTTCATTGCCTCTTTTTCCCTCTCCCACCTTCATTTTTCAACTCTTTTGGGAACTATAACAAGCGAGGAAGTGGGCATATGTATGAAATGTTGCCTTCTGCTTTATGGTTCTATGAAGTCAGGTCTGGCCTTCCTTGTTGGATTCCAGCAGCAACATCTAACAACATTGAAATTCCACTTTCCTCTGATGCCTGACTCAGCCCCTCCTCTCCCCTGGCAGACTCTGTATGTGCTGTATTTTTAATGCTGAAATTTGGCAACCCTTTCCAAGCCCAATCATCAGAATGTAATGAAGCAGGAGATCTTTGTCTGTGTCTCACACTTAGATGGTGTGGGAAATGTAGAGTGCCTCTGTTTACTGAGCACATAGTATTTTGAACTAGTCCTCCTCTGACTTCTTCCAGTGGTTCTTTCACTCTACCACTAATAGCATTTGTACCTCTTTTTTTTTTTTTTGAGTTGGAGTCTCATTCTGTCGCCCAGACTGGAGTGCAGTGG